CTAAACTAAGGCTATTTTGAAATAACAGTATAAGTTGGACTAGACTGTGGAGTAAACACTATTGGCACACCGGAAACGTATATATATTCAGCATTTAGTTGATAGTACTAGTGTACCTTTCAGGACTGACAGACCAAACATGGCATCCACTTTCATCACTCACCACAAAAATGGGTGGAGGACAGGAACGAGTAAATTACAGAAGGGAAGGAAGGTGTAGGAGGAAGGAATTAAACAGGCAAGGGAGTTTTGGCACAGCAGCAAGAAAGGAATAAGGCTAAAAAGGGGGTGAAGGATTGACTTTTACATAATTAGGTGGTTTAGTCTGCTTATCAAACACACGCATGTTTAAAAATTCCTCAGGAATAAACTACAATTCCCACAGTTGGGCATTATATGTAATAGCACAAGATAACTAACATGTGAAACTTTGTGTTGTGCTATATCTGAATGGAAAGTAACATCTCTCCCCACCCCTCCAATTTAGAAATTAAAAATTAAGGGGAAATGAAGTAAAGTACTTTATCAAATTAAGAGAATGCATGAAAAGTCTTCGTGGTGACTGTATTTTGAAGAGTAAAAAAATAGGCAGAAAGACTTCTTGATATATCCTCAAATACAGAATCATTTACATCATTACATAATTGAAATTTAATCTGGTTTTGAAACAGACTTTGAACTAAAGTGCTGTAATTTAGCAAAGAAATAGTGACCCCCAATGGTCATTATGATTATGTGCAAAGAATGTTCTCAAATGTTTTTAGCAGAGGCACATCCACTGCAGATGCCTTAAATATTATAACGTGAGGCCATTTAAACCAAGAACAATCACAAACAGAGATTAACTCATATGACAAGCAGTGGTTTGTGGAAAAAACATTTTGAAAAGCACCTGCTTAAGGACTAAATTTTAGAAACTAAGAGCTTGCAAAGACTATGTAATTTTGAAAGCTAATCTAAACAGGCGAGTCAAAAGCCTGAGGAAAGCAGAAGAGTTTGGGCTTGGCCATCGTCCACCACAGCGAATTCAGAACCAGATTCTTGCAAATGGTGGTTTTGAATGGGAATCAATCATATCTCCCTGTAGAGATGGCACGATCCACCGAATTGGCAGTTTGTTTCTTGACCAAACAGGCGTTTCATGCTTCCAAGCCCTGCTTCCTCCACTGGGCTCTGTCTTTGAGTGGGCATCAGCTGGAGGAAGCAGGGCTGAGAAGCCCACCTCTATCTCTGAGTTCTGGCTCACTTGCACTGTTTGTTTCTGTGCTCAATTCAAGACATCAGCTGGAGGAAGCAGGGCTGAGAAGCACACCTCTGTCTCTGAGTTCTGGCTCACTTGCACTGGCACCCTGTTTGTTTCTGTGCTCAACTCAAGATGCTGGTTTTGACCTATAAAGCCCTAAATGTCTTGGGACTTCAATATCTAATGGGACATCTCTCCCTGCACTAATCTACCCTTTCACTCCTTGCAATATATGTAACTGAAAAGTGCCAATACCAAGGGAGGCCAAAATGCCCACAACTAGAAATCAGGCATTTTCTCCCCATTGAAGAAGGTACCGTTGGTGGTCCGCCAAGCACCATCCAGCCTGACCTTCAGAAAGATGCTAAAAACAGAACTTTCCAGGACAGTTATTAATGGTCTTCCACCATAAAAATCTGTGACATTCATCATATTAATCTAGGTTTAGGTGGTTAGGATGTTAGTATGTGTTTTAATTTTAATTTAATTATCTTCATTTCAGCAGAAGATACTATGTCACTTGTTCTCTGTTACTATGTTTATTTATTGATTATTAATATCTTTAATTGCTGATCTTTTTTGTAATACAATATCCTAGTTGTTTGTACACTGCCCAGAGAGTGCTTGTTCACTATAGGTTAGTATAAAAATATAATAAATAAAATAAATATAATGCAATATTATACAAGTCTACTGAGAAGTTAAGTCCCAGAGAGTTCAATGGGGCTTCCTGGAGAAGCAAACAGGCAAAAGATTGCAGCCTTAATGACTTACTTCTGGAACCTAAAGCCAAGAGTTCATATTATTTTACAAGCTTGATATATCAGAATTCTGGACTCCAATTCATCTTTAACCTTCAAAATGTTGCAGAGCAGAGGCTTGGGAAGAGGCAATGCCTCTGTCCCTAAAACCGCAACAATAGAATGCTACTGACCTCCACTGGCTGATTGTATTGCTACAGAACTACAAAATGCCACACACATTGCACCGCAGCCACTGGTTTAGAGATTAAGACACAGCTAATGATAGCCCTTCCTCCAAATAATTCATTTGCTGAGAACATATTCTGTTCCTTTAACAGCATGTTATAATCCTCACATTTACAAGATCACATCTCAGTTGAAACATATTTGTATTAAGCTGCAGAAAACAATTTTAAGCGAAGATACTAGAAGGTAATTTTTGCTGGAGAAAGGAAGCTGTGGCATGCACCTCCAAACAAAAGGGAACAAGTGGCCTTCAATCAGAGAGCAGCTTCCTATTAAGACTCACTCCTTCGTACATTATGCCTTTCATCCCCACTCAACCACAAAATGATTTTGCTGTAGGACACACAATGGTGGAAAAAGATTTACATTGAAAGAATCTTTAATAATAAACTGTTGCAGGTCTGCCTACTTCCCTCATGATTTATAATACAATAAACATTGGATTCTATTAAGTCTCATGCACTGAAGTTGCACTGAAAAAAAAAGAATATGAAAGCACTCAATTCTTCCCATCTCCAGTGCCATAATAGTGAAATGAGCATGGATAAATGTGCTAAGAGTATCTCTTTGCATCTTTTATAGCTTGTGTGTATTAATCTGTAAAGCTTATTAAGAAAGTCATTGCTATGCAAAGCAGCACCCAATCTCTTTCTCTTGCTTTTCAACAGAGTGCAGTGTTTAACCAATAGGACTCGTCCGCTGCCCCTCATTCTGCATTCATAACATGCAACATTTGCACAATGTATCTCTCAAAGACTACTGAATAGAAAGCCTTAATACTCATGTAAACAACTGCAAACCAATTACTTAATGAATCAGGCCCACGCATAATGAGGTGCCAGACAAAGAGCTATAAATGCATTTTTGCGCCCAAGCCTCTGCTTTAAAGTAAAATCCCTCAGCTGTAGTTTGGGCTTAACTAGCACATCATAATTATTGTCTGTAGGACATCAGAGGAAGCCATTTTTTTTATTTAGGTCCATCAGGGTATTTTTTTTTAGGTCACTCATCAGCTCAGTGACTAAACATTGCGAAGAGGGGGGGAAATAAAAGTACCACAGTGGTACTAGACTGTTATGTTTATTTTCAAGTACTGGGTTTCGAGACCACTTGTAAAAGCAATAAAGCGCAAGAAGTGACAATAAGTGGAATCCTTAGACATCAGCCTGTAAGAAAATTCACTGTGTCCCAATTGCAAATAAGCACTTGAGTCATTTCCCATTCTTTCGCACTTTATTCCTACATTGTGCTTGTAAACATCTTTCTAAGATAGATGTCAAGTGTAAAGCAGCAAGTGTTACTAACCGATCTGGTTTAACAGACATTTTATTTCTCAGTTATTGAGGGAACAAAAATGCACACTATTCATTTAAAAAATAACTAATAATTCATACTGTACTATGAAATGTATTTTCTCCCAAGACTAGGAGCACAAAATGATATGGTACAGTAAATGCTTCCCAAAATTCTATCTGTCATGCATACAAATGTTTAGAAATAATCTCAGTGCTACAGAATTTGCATTGTATGAGCATTTCAGAAATGCCAGAAACTGCTGGTTCATATTGTAATTCAAACTATTGTCCCCTAGGACATTCCTTTTTGTTTATGTTGTTTACACATATGCCTCTTCTTTGTATATTAGAAATAATAGCTGAAAGCTACTTCGAATTTCAGTAAGCTAGATATTGCTTCTTCAGATTATTATTCCCTCAAATAGCAATTACCTTAGGAAGATAGAATTTTAACTATTTTATTTTAACAAGCAAGCTTTAAAGATATTACTTTCCAACCCCAACTCCTAGAAATCAAATACAAAATACATAGTTTAAACTATTTTTTCTGCAAACCGACTACTGTTTCTACATTATACTGGCCAACTGCCTTTTGTTCCAATTCCTGTTTTTTAAAAAATCAGTTTTTCACAATGAGAAATTCCAAGACTTTTAAAACAGAAAATCATAAATAGTGGTTTGGCAGTGAAATGTATTATAATGCTACAACTCAATATATACATCTGTATTATATATCCCACATCATCAATGGGAATTCCAAGAAGGAAAAACATAAGCAGAACCAAGCTATGAAAGTGTTTTAACAATTATTATGTAACAATCTGAGGCCAATCTAAAATTCCACAATTGTTTACTATGTTTCATTTGCTATTACTGCTTGATTGCTAGTAATTTGATTCATGCTGCTAATGAAAAAAGTGAAATAAAACATTACTCAAAGAACTGAAAAAGATAAATTGCACCTCTTTAGGAAAAAGCCAGGACACTAATTAAATGCTCTCAATTTGAACATACAAAAGAAGAAAGTAACAAATAATCTAGTATCAAATACTTCTTTAAAGGACACAAAAATAGGTATTGAGCTGAAGCTCATTTACATTTCAACTACATCCAGAAGACTACGCACCACTTTATTTCTTCAAGACTTCATGTTTTACGTCTGCCCTTTTCCTGACAACTTCCTTTGTCTGGTCTCTAAGTAGTCCTACTGAGAGCAGCTGTACACGCTAATTTGTGGTTCACTGAGATGTCAATTGAGTCTTAAAATGAGAAAACAACAGCTGCAAAACAATACCTGGCTTTAGTGCAAATATTTTCTAAGGTGTACACAATTTTAAATTGCTGCCTTTGAAAAACACCAATTGGAACCATGGCCGTTGGATCAAAATATTGTTGCTAAACCTTTATTAACTTTTTAGTGGCATTTCTCACTAGGCTGAACTATTCAGAAACGAAACATTTTAATGACTTTACCTTGACAAAGAGCTTCTTTCAAGAGATGAAATACTAGGTTCTGAACTGGTTCTGTCACTCTTCTGTTCTTTTAAGCCACTGTCATCAATATTCAAACCTAGAAGGAGAATAAACACCAAACACTTCTAATTAATGGTTGACTAAATTAAATTAAGAGCTGCCACACAAAGTAACTTCTGACCTGTAAATGGCAATGGAATAGATACTACAAAAACTGCAAAGAAAATGTATTTCATATTATGCATTTTGAAGAATATTATTTTAAAAATCAGTTTAGTAGAGTGCAAGCATCCTATAAATAGTTTTCTACCAGTATTATGGCTAAAACTTTCCAGAGTTGTTACATGATGGCAGAATACCAGATTGCAAAATATAAGATCAATGGTTTAACAGAACTCGGGCAATATTTTATTTTTCCATTAACAAAAAGCCCACTTCTATCCAAAAACACATTACAAGATATTTAGGACTTTCCCATCCACTAATACAAAAATTCTAGTGATATTACTCCTGGTGATCTATATTGTCCTTATGTTTTCTTCAGTATAATATACTTTCTCTCCTACTGTGCAGTAACCATTGCATAGTCATCACTGGAGCTTTCTTCCACATTTGTATTTTGCACAATGGATAGTCTCTTTAACACCGACAATGTTGCTTCCAACTCATAATCTAGCTGGCGCTCTTTTGTGAATATGTTTAGGTGGCAGAAATGGGCCAAAATCTGGAGTTATCACATAACATTCCAAAATACTAACTTCGTATCAAATTGCCTGTTTGAAACATTCTAAACAAATGGTTCTGGAACAAAGCAAGAAAATATAGATTGTCAATCTATGCTTTACAGACTATAGCAAAGCCTTTGACTGTGTGGATCATGAAAGGCTATGGATTGTTCAAATAAATGTGTGTGTCTCAACACTTGATTGTCCTGAAGCCTAACCTATACTGTGAACAAGCAGTTAAAGTTAGGAAAGAATATGGAGGACTAGAATTGTTTTCCATAGACAAAGGTGTCAAACAACGGCACACTTTATTGCCCTTTTATTGTGTTTAGCCAGTATGCAGAATGTCTCATATGGAAAGCTGGACCAGATTTAGATGAAGGTGGAGTAAAAATTGGTGGAAGAAACAGCAATACTTTAAGACAATGGTCCCCAACCTTTTCCGAATCACAGACCAGTTTAGCATGCACAGCGGGGCGTCCGTGCATGGGTGGGCGGGCACCCATGCAGGTGGGCGTGCATGCATGAGCAGGGCATGTGTGCATATGTGTGTGGGGGTGTACATGCGTGGGGGGCAGGAGATTTGTCTTCGTGGCCCAGTCCTGCCAAGGCCCGATACCGGGCCGCGGCCAGGGGGTTGGGGACCCTGGCTTTAAGATACAATGACGACACAGAGCTTAAGTCTGTTGGCAATTTTCATAACAATTGACCATGTTATTCTGTAGCTCCCATTCATTAAAATGGGCTTATCAGCTCAATATCTTAATCTGCTGTACCATCTAAAGTCATCCTTAAAGTTATTCATTTCTGTTTACATTATATTCTCCAGTGACCTCAAGGCAGCATGTATGGCTTTTCTCTTGTTGCTTTTATACTTAGTGCAATAACTCCAAGGTAGATCCGGCTGACAGAGAATGAGTAGCTATCAATAGTGTCAAACCTACTGCCAGCCATTGTGGAGAAATGAGGTCTCAACTAAACAAACTCACATAGCGGTCTAGGCATAAGAATGTATACAACATATTTTGAGTTACATTAATTCAAGACAGGTTACCATCATATGCTAAGCTGTAAGTATGTGGTGACTAATAGGTGAACTCTGGGGATCTGAATTGGTTCCTGCCCTAGAAGGTGCCAGCTCTGCATCCCACTGATAGCCCATTATTGTAACATGTTTAAGAAAGAAGCAGTTACCAGTATGATTATTTTTTATTTATTTATTTTTTAATTTATTCATTGGACTTATATACCCCCCCATAGCGCTACAAGCACTCTCCGGGCGGTTTACAATTTAATTATACAGTCTACACATTGCCCCCCCCCCCAGCAAGCTGGGTACTCATTTTACCGAACTCGGAAGGATGGAAGGCTGAGTCAACCTTGAGCCGGCTACCTGGGATTTGAACCTCAGGTCGTGAGCACAGTTTTAGCTGCAGTACAGCGTTTTAACCACTGCGCCACGAGGCTCCTTTATTTTCCCACATTATCCCACAGACTGTCAAATGCCAGTCTATCCCCTGATGCTTTTAGTTGCACATTTCCATTACCAATGATATATGTCAACATATACAATGCCAAGCAGCAGAAGACTCAAAATGGACAACACAGGACAACACAGCAGTGCCTGGTTTTTTGGTGCTTCAGATGCATGAATTTTATGTAAATGTTTGATAATGTAATTCTGAGTGATGTTTATGGTGCTTTGAAACACTAGGATACATATGTGTTAAATATATGATAGCAATCTTAAGCCTCAGCTTGTATTATTACAACTATATGAAAGGAGGGAAATTTCAAAAGCAGGAGATCTTAATTGCCATATGAAGAAAAAAAACAGTCATTTCCTTGTGGCTCTCCTTAAGGGTCTGGACTTGATGATCTATAGGGCCCCTTCCACGTCTGCAGTTCTAAGATTAAAGGTTGCCAAATTTTACTGGGATGTTTCCTTACTTTGTTATCTAGTTCTTTCACTATCCAACAAGGAAGAAGATTCTCCTTACCACCACTAGTGGAGGTTTGGTGCAGTTATAATTGATTAAATGCCCTCATTCCTTTAATTATTTATTTAAGATTTTTGCCCTAATGTTTCTCTGTTAAGTTAATATATTTGTGAGAAAATGAGCTAAACCTTTCAACTCCTTCCCTGGACTCAAGTAAGGTATTCTTTCCCCATTCTTCTCTGCTAGTTATGTGGGGTAGGTAAGTGTGGTTAACCAGGAGAGCTGGGAGGATTACAAAAAATGGTGGTGGTGGTGGTGGTGGTGGTGGCGGTAGTAGCAGCAGCAGCAGCAGCAGCAGCAGTAGTAGTAATTAATAATAATAAAAAATTTGGATCACTGACTCCAGCCCCTCTCAAAGATACAGTGGGGAACTGACCTCCCCACCTCTGGCTCCGCAGCCAGAGACCTAAGTCACCGAACTATCCAGCAGTTCATACAGTGGTGCCCCGCTTGACGAAATCGCTTGACGATGAGTTTTTTTGTGATCACTATAGCGATTGCAAAATGATGGTTCCTATGGGATTTTTTCGCTTTACGTTGATTAGGTGCCTGTTTCACGAACTGTTTCTTCGCAAAACGATATTTTTTCTGGCTCTTCAAAATGGCTTCCCTTCGCAAAATGGCTTCCCTCCCTTCGCAAAATGGCTGTTTTCCAGACCCCTGCTTCAGAAGACAGCGATTTTAAACAACTGATCGGCGGTTCTCTATGGGCTATCTTCGCTGGACGATGAGGTATTTCCCCATTGGAACGCATTAACCAGTTTTCAATGCATTCCAATTGGTTTGTTTTTTTTTTCGCTTGACGACGATTTCGCTTAACAGTGATTTTCCTGGAACGGATTATCGTTGTCAAACAGGGCACCACTGTATTTTAAAACAGAAAGTTCTATTAAATGCAAGCACATATCAAAGCAACAGAAACAAACAGGCAGAAATGTTGTGATTTAGAATTTTATGAACTAAAAGAACAAAATGTGTTGGATCAGTGCTCCTTTTTTTCTTCTTATCCTCCTAGATACATCCTACATGTTTCAAGCAGTAGATCTTTCATCTTAGTGTTGCAGTTAATTTGAGGCAGGAATGCGGAATGTGTAGCCCTTTAAGTGTTGTGAGAACCCAATACCCATCAGCTTCAAATAGCATAACCAGTGGTGAAGGATGATGATAGATGGGAATCTAACAATGTGAAGGGTCACACATTAAAAGCAGTAGTAAGACAAGTGCAGCCCTCCAGATACTGCTGAACAGCCACTCCTAGCACTACTCATCACTGACTGTGCCAGAAAGGCCTCATAGTTACTGCAATTCAGGCCACTCTTTGCTTACTCCTGCTTTAAGGCAGACCTTGCATTCTGGTTGAAATTCCCTTGCCACCAACTGCCATCATCTTGGTTCCTGCCAGTTCTAGTAGCACTAAATCAATCTAAGCCTAGATATCTGATCATCAGGGATGCCATCTGAGCTGGGAAGCAGGGCTGTATGTAATCCTATTATATTCCTTATGGTGTGGCCAGCAACTCAGAAGCCCATAATGCTCCACCACAAGCTGGAAATAGCTCTGGAACCAGCAGACCTGCAAAAGTGAACTCCCTCTCTGATGCACAGGGAGAGTGAGAGCAAGAGAGAGAGCTTAAATAAGCCACACATAGCTCCCACATAGGACAAAAAGGCAGAATAAAGGTTCCCCACTCGCATGAGGGGGGATATCCAGTAGAGTATCCAAACATCCCATTCAAACCACAAAGCTGTGCATATCTAACACCAGCTAGAACTTAGGAATTCAGGACATCCAATGACCTGGTCAACTGGCTACATTTACATTTGGTTTGGCAGTAAGACAGGTGTGTGTAACAGCCCACCTCTTGTGGCCTGGAGGCATCAGACTAGATGGGTTTCTGGATAAACAGGGTTGTTGACAATGCCTCCAAAAAGGGGACGTCCTCATAAAAAAAACACTTGCCTGGGATTCAAAAGCTCCAGCCCAACTTGGAAGCTGGCATGTTCCCTTCCCTTCCAGACAACAAGGGAGTCTTACATGATTTATCCACACCACATCAGCTGAGGTCTCCCACTATTTCTATTACCAGGACAACACACAGGGTCAGAGGGATTGTCAGCCATGTTCGAGCTCTACTCTAGTAACAAGACATGGAATCCCTTACGCAGTTTGTAAGGCCCTTTAGGGCTTCACAGGTTAAAACCAACCCATAGAATTTCCTCTGGTAAGCAGCTGGCAATCACTGCAGGTGTTTCAGTATCAGAAGCACATGTTCTCAATACCACACACCAGTTAGCAACCTAGTTGCTGTATAAATAAATAAAATAAATACATAAATATTGGACCAACTGAAGAGTGCAGACCCCCTTCAAGG